CAATTGAGCAAGAGTGGCCAATGCCAAAGAAGGCACAAAATGAAGACAATCTCACTTGATTGTCTGCTGAGGAATTTCACTCGCCAACACCTCCTGGCTCAAATGGGCTCTTATCTAATTGAAAAGGTCATCGAATCAAAGACCGACGACATTGACGAAAACGAAGCTCGTCAGAGACAGCGTCAGCGTCCGTGCTCGTCAAATAGCTTAGGCATAGATATGACACAATACCGCTACGAGTAGTTTACGTTCATGTATCTCGCCGGACTTAGCGCTAGTAAGATGCTAACAGAACAACAATGCCTGTCTGCGCTCAACGCAACGACACCACGCAAACTACTCCGCGTTTCGCACAATTCACAACTGGTAGTTGAAGTGAGACCATTCACTCGTTGATCATTATAGTAAGAACGCCATTTACTGCTATCGGACCGTCACCAAGAGTATTACACACACGTGGTAGGCATTTAAGTTGACTTAATCCGCCACTTGTCTTCTACACCACAAAGATAGAACGAACAAGCGGGGACGGAAGAATTGGTGACGACAGAATCAAACCAAACTTCGTACAAGTTCTGGCTATTCAGGAAAGGGTCGAGGACTGGGACTTATTGACTCGTAGAGGCCGTCTAACCAGATCTGACCACATAGCCCACAAAGCACTACAGGTGGTTTACTGAAACGTCCGCGGACTCGTCGCCAGCGATAACCCTTATGCGACTCGGCTTAAAGACAAAATAAATGTCCTACGACAGGAACCTCACTCTCGACGTCGAAGAATGGCCAACAACAGGTGTTTTATACTCCACCAGCGAAAGTTAAGAGACACGGAGCGAAGATTCACAAATCTAGGAATAAATCGTGTCTATCAGCGTGAAAAGCAGCTATCCATAGACAGCAGTCAGAACTTGATCGTACGACATTTTTTGGGGCGGCGCACAAATGTTCAGATACCGTGACTGGTTTATCAAGTTGAAGGTCTGTGAAATTTTCTCGCCAAGTGAAGA